CTGCTAATGTTCAAGAGCTATTGGAAAGTGAAGATATCACACGAATGGATTGGCCAGCTTACTCTCCAGATCTAAATCCCATAGAGCATGTGTGGGATGCATTAGGGAGACGTCTTGCGACACGACAGTATCCTCCTGGTAACACCCATCAGCTGAAAGATGCGTTAAAGGAGGAATGGAGACGTTTACCCCAAGAAGTCCTGGATAATCTGGTGCTTAGCATGGAGAGACGATGCCAAGCAACAATTACCGTAAGGGGAGGGCATATCCCATACTAGGGAACATCTGCCAGTTGTACTTACGCCTCCTCAGGCAATCATGTGTAACGCCACTATACGTCAAATAAAGCCCTTTTTTTGGTTCCATACCCTACTTTAAGCTTCATATTCATTTCTGCGCCATTATTCTTTTACCTTCGTTTAAGTACAAAATAATGTGCATCATATTCACATTTCATGTCAATCGAATGATTTCTTGTAGAGTTATGACAAAAAACGCACTTGTTGCTTAAGTTTTGCACACCAGTGTATATATACTGTATATAATTTTAATACTACAGTAATTTAAATTCATCATCCAAATATAATTGTTTATTTATGACAATTTCTCAACTTCATTGTGAAATGAAAAAAGATCAAACAATAGATCAAAAGGGTTCAGGGAGATCAAAAATTGGTGCCTAAAGTTGTCCCTATTGATTTTATTGATGAAAATTTTTAAGAAAGGAAATAAAGTATTTTTTATCTAATTCTTAGTATAATTTTTTTAAAAAAATCAAACATGATATTTTTATTATTTTTGAAAATAAAAATATATAAATTAAATATAATTAGTTTCTAATTCTGCTTAGAATTTCTACATTCTCTAATATTAATAAAAACAATACTTTTAAAGCAGTGGTCTCAATAATAATAGTTGCTTTATGTAAAGATATTAGTTAATTGCCGGTCAGTGATAACAAGCAATTATAATATAATGTGCGCTGTTATATGCAATTATGAAATATATATTATTTATTAATTTATCAATTTTTATTGAGATAAGTAGGCCTTGTGAAATATTTTGATACCTGAAGATAATCTTAATTGGAAAAGACCTAAAAATAATTCTAAGTAGCTTAACGTTGAAGATTTGGTCAAACGGTTATTACTCAGTAGTGATCTGTTTTTTACTAAACAAGATAATATTTATAAAAAAAAAATATTAAAGGATTACGATTTTATAGTTGAAGATCTTTGTTATTTAAAATAATTAAACTAATTGGAATATACGGTATTTTTGTACATATAATGTAAATGGTTCTAATAATCTTACAAAATATTTCAATAAGTATGATATTTCAATAATATTATTAAAATAAAAATTTTCCTTAAACTGGTTCATAAGAAAGCGAATTTTATTTATTTATTTATTGTTTCTATTCATAAAAAATAATAAATTTTGGTTAGTATGTTCATTGAAATACTAATAGTTAGATTTAATTAAACCTACATTAAATTTATACCACTTAAACACAGCCATTTTGAAAATTAAGTTTCTGAATTTATATTCTTAATCAATGACCTCTAAAATCCATGCATTGGTTTAATATATGAAGTGTCTGTATTAGGCAGCCTTTTCCACAAGCGTCGTTTTAATAGTATTGTTTTGATGAAAATTAAAATTTAAAAATTCTGAATAAAAGATGAAACTGATTTTATTTTCTTTACATATTTTTTTAATTTTTAATAATTTTTATTACTGTTATAACACTGTTATCACACTTATAATATCACTGTTACGTTGAATAGTTTCTTATCACTGTTACATTAAAAATTGGAGAAAATACTACTTTTTTTTCATTTTTATCTATAAAATACCTAAGGCAATTTTGGTTTTTCATGGAGCATTCTTTAGTTTCTTTATAACCAGAGGGGGCAAAGGTATCTCCTTTTCAAAAATCAGAAAAAGGTTGTATATTTTAGTTTCGCATACAGAATTTTTCACTAGTGTAGCATGCAAATTATTTACAGACATAGAAAAATCTTTTTTAGACTTTTAAGAAGATGAAAAATCACCTTTTAAACACCTTTTAACACCTTTTAGAATGTATAAGAAATACAAGTTCCAGATGCAGAATACGTTTGACTACTTTGCATGGATAATACATTAATACTAACTAGAATATTATATTAATGAAATATTTTACATTATTCTTAATACTTTTAATACTTTTGATTAATTTTAGAAATTAATGTTTGATTTCTGATTTCCATGCTTTAGATGCCTGATTAGTTCTGATGAGTGATTTGATTTTTTGAGTTTTGGGCAGCTTTTTCCTAGTTCCGGCCACTGTTCAGCTGGAAAAATCTTCAGTGAACACAAGTAAATTGATAAAAAATTGTGTCACATCATTCTGGATAAATGTTGTACTTTTTTTTATTTACTGAAATGGAAAACAATTTTGACAAATCACTTGAATGTTACGAAAATAGTAACAGACATCATGAAAAATGAAAAAAAATGGAACTAGATCATATTATTTGCTCATATTTAATAAAAGAATATTATTTTCCCTGCACCTCAAATACACATTCTTAAGTCGAAATGGGCAGTACGAAATCATGTGATGAACACCTTTGCAGACACACGAGAAACGCTCAAGGAGAAAAAAAGCTAAAAAATTATGTAATACGTAAAAAAAGCTAAAAAGTTTTTAAAAAAAATTAAGGCAAAAAGCTAAATTATTATATACAGTTTTAATAACAAACAATTTTGTAAAAGACTCATTTTTTTTATAAAAAAAGTTTTTTTTCTAATTTTCAATCATAATTTCTTGAAACAGAATTAAAGATTATTCATCTCAACATCTTTATGAGATAACTAGTTGGTATTCTCAAACAACTTTTATTAAAAAAAAGTACAAACATAGAGTATGCATACTGTAACGCATGCAACTAACCAACTTTTCTCACTCTATGCCACATATAAATATTTCTGATGAAAAAAATGCGTATGCTAGGGTAAACTAACCAGTGAAGGAACACTTAAGCTTCGCTTATCTTTTAAAAAATCTTATTAATTTCAAAATAATTCATAATTTTAGTTAAATGACAGTGTCAACATATTTGCTACTAATTGAAAATTATGTAAAAAAAATTGTAGAGAAATTACACAAGATTGTTTTAAAGTTTTGGAGGTTCATATAACAAGTAGTCAGAAGACCAAGTGAAGGAACAGCTCTTACCAGTGAAGGAACACAAAATTTCCCAAGGAACATTTAATTTTGGTTATTTTTTAATGCTCTTTGTGAATTTATATGCCATACAAATATCTAAAAACAAGGCGATTCTTGAAATTATAACATACAAATACTTGGAAAATGTTAACTTGAATTGAAAAGTGAATTGAAAAGTGAAGTGTCAACATATTAACACATACTGTTCATTCACTGGGAAATCTAAGCCCAGTAAAGGAACATGCCTGTTCCCTTACTGGTTGGAAGTTGTTTTTTGTATTTTTAACATACTTTTGATGCAAAATATCACTAAAGGTACAAGAAAATTAAAGTTTTTCTTTCATTTTCATTAACTTAGAAAAAACCCAGTAAAGGAACACTTGTTACTTCACTGGTTTTTCATCATTTGGTGATCCAGCGAATAAACACCCCTTATCTCAGTACTTTATTATGCTATGATGCTTAAAAAAAGTAAATCGTAACTTCAATAACTATATTTTGAATTCTTATTTTCACAGAGAGAAAAATAAAACCAATTAATTCCACCTCAAACATATAAATACAAACACTCACCTTATAATTTTTTCAAGGAAACAATGTGTTGCAGAGAAAATAACAAATTCAAAAAATTTTCCAGAGAAGTCTATATGACCAAGTAATCCAAAACATTGCTAGATGACTTCTTATTATTTGGCAGTAAGCTATTGCTACCAATCAATCTAAAGAAAAACTTTCAAATTCTTATTTTTGATCAATATAGGTGAAGTGCTCCTTTACTGGGTAGTGTTCCTTCACTGGTTGGTTACCCTATTATATCCAACATATAATCATACATACACTGCTTTATCGAACTAGGATATATGCAAAAGGCTATTTGCGCACTTTAAGAAAATAATTTATCCTCAAAACTACATTTTTTTTACTTTAATTTTGATTTTTTTGAGCTAAAGGGTTCTTTAATCATTCAAATAAAATTAAAATGATTTTATTTACGTAGTTTCATAGGAAAAAAATTAAGGTCGAGGTGCTGTCCTTGAATTTACTCGTTTACCTAATATAATTTTATGGTTCATTGGTTTATGTATACACATATAATATCGTATGTATATATATTTATATATTTTCCTATTTAGAAGTATTTAAATAACCTTAGTTCAGTTGTTTGTATTTATGACTTCAACTTTTTTTGTCAGGTAGTGAGGAAAAAATATTTAACTTGAGTCGCACTTATTCAAAAATAAATGAATTTGCATATTTTTAATTTGAAAATAAAACGAATTGACGTAATAGTTTTTATATCTATAGTGAAGTGATAATAATAAATTGCCTTATTCTTACAGATCATTTATAAAATTGATCATAGTGCGAAGTTTATGAAAGAACATCATAATTTGGAATCATATACTTAACAATTGAAATGAAGTTAGATTAAAATATTAGTTTATTTTAGGAAATTTCTCCGGTACATTAAATTTGATTTATTTATAATTTTGTACGATGTGATATGTTTTCGATAATACCGTATAACTTGGATTACTATATGTCTCAAATATCTTTTCAGTAATATTTTAAAATTTTAATTTTACCTTTTCAATGGGTATTTTTAATACTTTCTTTTTAAATTGGTGACTCAAATCGTTACTCACATTGGTTTTCAATGTTCATTTCCTTCCTCAGCCTTATGTCCTTTAGTTTCAATGGAAATTTAACACCAACCATGTATCACCCAAGTCAAATGTTAAAGTTTAAGCAATTGCTCGATAGATGGCGTTGATTACACATCTATTCCTGCTATTGGTCATCGCTCACGAACTCTGCGGTATTCCTTTTTGGGGTTCCATCTGATCTCTTCACCGCTATTGCCGGCGAATTGAACGGAGTTATCCTTTTATTTATTTTTCCTGTATGTATCATGTTTGAAGGTAAAGTGGAAAAAAATCGACTTACCATTCATAAGTCAGATTTTTAAAAGCACTGACAATCGTCTGATTATCTAGGACAGGCTTTAAAAAGGAATAGTTTATTTGACAAACTCCTCCAGGCCGAAAAAGGTATGATTTCACTTTAAATTTTTTAAATGTAAAATTTATTTTTATATTATTTCAAATAATAAGATAAGGTATATATTAATGTGTATGTTATAGTACCATGATATTTCTATGAAAATAAAATTATGTCATAGCAATAAGTTAACATATTTTGCTCATATTGTATTTTTGTTATATGTGAGAAAAAAGATTACTTAATAAAAATTTGTGCTTTTGTTTACCAATTAAATATTGTCAACTGCAAATTCTTAAAGATTAAGAACCAGGTTCCTCACCAAAATAATGCATAGATTTTGTTTTAATAATTATATCAAATAAAAGAAGAAAAAATTTAATGTGATTAGAATGAATTTCTCTCAAGAATTTAGTAAAATATTTTTCACGGCATTGAATGTTATTCTACAAAAATGCTTACTTCGGAATTTAGAAACAAAATTTTCGATAATTTCATTGAATTTATTTAAATAAGAGAAAAAACACTATGACTAAATAGCTTGAAAATCCATAAGAATGTGGAAAAAAAATATATTTTGCAATAAGTAAGAAACAGGTAAGAAAGTTATCAATAAATTGTGTTTTCTGTATGTTTGCACATGTTTACAACAAACAACAAGCAACGGTTACAACAAGAAACAGGTAAGAAAGTTATCAATAAATTGTGTTTTCTGTATGTTTGCACATGTTTATGAAACTGAATAATTGAATTTTTATCACATACGTTAGATATGTTATTAAACGTTTTTTAAATATGTTTTCTTGAAATAATGTTCATTATATTATCTGTCATTATTGTGTAGATGCGAGGCAAAAGCAATGATTCTTATTAATTTTGAGATTTTGTGAGTTATAGTGAGTGTAATTATTTAAATTAAATTAATTTGTATTGCATTTGTTTATAAATGATCAAAACGCTTATTTATTTCATATAATTATTTCATTATTACTTAAAACTATTTGTATTGATCTTTAAAACAAAAATATGTAATATTTTTACAAACATTAAAGGTAAATGGTTGTAACAGATGTGTGCAATATAATTAGACTCATTTCAAATCACTTACTTGCAATAAAAGACAGTGGTAACTTCATATTTTTATTAAAAGCTGTTATGGTTCTTTGAGTATTGTTGCTTATAATATTTAAATAATTTTAAGAACTGAAAAAACTGAGCTGTGTATATAAGAGCGACTAACATTTTTCACGCAAGTACTGTACAAATGTGCAAGTGCTTTTTTCTCAACTTAAGTTTTGCTAAATAACGTTACTTTATTTTTTCTTGACAGAATTTCTCATATTTTATTATTTATTTTTGAGTACCTATATCTCTCTATCTCATATTTACCTCTAAATGTCATTCAAAAGAAGGATACAAAAAAAAATTCATAAAATATTTTTTTCATTTTAAACATATATTTATTCAATGATAATGTATATTGAACGTGTTTTATACTATGGTGCATGATACTATAATTAATAATTAAATGGTCTAATGTACGTAGTTAGCCATACAAAGAATGCTCATTTATTAGGTATTTTTAACTACAGGCCCAATAATATAGCAAAGGCATGTATTTTATTCTCCAAACGACTAATTTATTACTTACGTATATTATTATTACGACATGTTTATTACGAACGTGCGGTGATTGAAATAGTTTTTTTTAAAGAAAAATAAGCATAACTAGGGAAATTAAAAAAATGACAATGCCGATTACTAAATTCTTCTTTATATTATTAAGTGAGCCGGGGTGGCTCAGGGGTAAAGCGCTCGCCTCCCAATGAGGTCAGCCGGGTTCGAATCTCCGCTGTGACTGTTTGATTCGAATTCCTCACCTGGCTCGCAGCCAGGTGAGGAAGCCGGTGCAGAATTTGTATGGACTAACTCTCTCTGGTATTTAAACCTTGTTCACCTCACTCACCATTCTGACGTAAAATATTCTCAGCGGTGGACGGATTAGGGGTTAGAGTGCCCTTGCAGTCAGGCTGACCGTGGAAGGTTATCGTGGTTTTTCCCTCCATGTAAAGCAAAGGTGGATTAGTTTCATCAAAAAGTCCTCCATGAGGGTACATTTCTCCCAATACTTGCCCCGATATTCCCTTGTCTTCTGGATTGGGTTCAAAATTACAAGGCTACAGAGTTTACCATGTGTAGTCATGTACTGAAAATTCGGTCGGCTTTTCAACGACTGTTGTAAAAAATGAAATATAATTTAAGTCAATAATATTTTGTAAAAGTAAAGCATTTCCACCGCAGTCCGTTGTGGGCCAGGGGTGTCATGAAGGTTAAAGTTTCAGAATTTCGTGAACAGCTACATGATTCGTTAATAATATTTAGATCTTTTAAAATATAATCGATCGTCTTCAGCAAGCTTGTTTGGTGAATCCAAGCAAATTTAAGGCATAGGGCAAAAAAATCCCACTGTTAGCTATTTTTGCGTACTTGTCTTCAAATAATTTAAAAATTCCTGTTACAGGAATTAGTTCTTCGTGTATGATAATGAAACATTTTTAAGCCGTAATCTCATAACATGGAAATACTAACGCACTGTAATGTTAAGTATTAAGTTAAATTAAGTTTAAAACTAGATAAGATCATCAATTAAAATGTGCAAAAATGACACTCATTAGACTTTTTTTTATGTCACAAGCAGTTCTAGTTGTTTTTGATTAACTTATAATATCTTAATCAAACGCAGTTTCAGTTTCTTAACTTTTCTTTTGAAACTGTAGCTATCAGTTCAGGCATCTTATTTAACATCATATGCAATTGAACGAATTTAAACGCGTTGAAAAAACTTTTATGCTTTTTGGAGAAAAATAAGCAGATAGTAAGAAATTATGGGATTTTGTTTAGATAGAGATGGCAAAACGTTTTATATATATATANCAGTATATATATATATATATATATATATATATTTACATTTCTGGTAATTTGACTGCATTATAGTGATTTGTGTAAATGCATCGTTGGTTGTTTTTGTTTTATTTTATAACCGTCGTTTGAGCAGCCACGCATGTTCAACTTCCTAGCCTTGTAATTCTGAACCCAATCCAGAGGAAAACCGCGAAAACCTCCGAAGGTTAGCCTGAAGGCAAGGGGACGCTAATCTATGATCCTTCTACAACTGAGGAAATTTTACGTCACCACTGTGGTCGGTGCGAGCCGGTGCGGAATTGGTATGGACTAACTATCTCTGGTATTTAAACCTTGTTCACCTCATCGGGGGGAGCACTTTATCCCCTGAGCAGCCACAGCTCTCATAGGCTGATTTTAGGATTTCATAACCATCGTTGAACAGTCGATTCAATTTTGGGGTTACGACCACTATGATCAAATCTGTATCCTTGTATTATTGAATCCAATAGAGAAGACAAGGGAACTCCTGGATCAAGTATTGTGGAAAATTGCTTTCATGGAGGACTTTTTGATGGAACTTACCCGCATTTGCGTTACATCGATAGGAAGACCACGAGAATCTCCCATGGTTAGCCTGACGGCAAGGGACTCTGATCCATTGAGGAAATTATAAGTCAGCACTTGTCGGTGTGAGTCTGGTGCTGAATTCTTATCGACCAGAAATCGCGGGTATTCAAACCCGATTCATTTCATTGGAAGATGAACTCTCTATCTCCTGAGCCACCACGCTTCCCTCATATGCAGATTAGAAAGTCCTTCTTTTTCTCATTCATTTTGCAATACACCGAGAAAATTGGAAAAGTCTGTAGTATTTTCCGATCAGCTTTATACTTTTTAGACTAAAAGTCTAATAAGCCTACAGAGTTTCTGCTACATTAAAAATAAATCATTCAAAACCCAATTTGACTTATCTACTTTTGCTGTTTGCTATAAGCTAAATGCTGTCGTGTTGTAAAGGCTTATTGTAAATTATCGTATTAAAAGTTTATTGTAATGAGTGAAATAATTAATAGTTTAAAACAATTCAAATAGCGTGGGCAAGGCATTTATGCTCTTTCATTCTCTGTACTATCTGTCCTTACTGTCGGAGCAAAGTTCGCTCACCTAATATGGTGCCCCTGAAAGAGTGGCCACTAAATCTGCCCCTTAAATGTCTGAATTGACGAAATGTTAACACAGGTGGGTATTGGAAATGAAAAAAAAAATCAATAAAAAAGTTGTGATTGCCTTATTACGATCACTGGTTCCCTATTGGTCAAATCTTTTTTTTTTTCTGGGTTGACTCCGTTAAACAACGTAACAATTCAAATCATGGGTTGCCAAAACTGTCTTAATTGATGTTGGTCGTCAGATTGAATTTCATATCCTGCCTATGTACGCGTTTTAAGACGTCACAAAATACTTTTCCTTCCTCAGTATTCATATTTATATTAATATCCCGTCAAGCCAGTAATTATATGCTAATTATAAAAAGAATATAAAAATACTATAAATTATTATTATGAAAATACAATAAAAATGCCTGCTAGTGAAAATAAGAAGAAAAACAGCAGCAGTCGCCATAGCAACACATGCAATGACGACGCATGCGCACTGTTTACTATTACTTGAACACAGTTGAAAAGTGTGTAGACACTATCAAATCCAAACCAAAACCTATTTTTCCAATGGGTAAAAAACAATTCAAATAAAAGTGAAAATTAAAAAGCTGACTCTGAATTAATTCACTATTAAAATAAGGATTAAATAACACTTATTAGTAATGATTGCATTAATCGCATAAACAAACAGTTATTGAAATACTTGCTTAGAAAACAATACTATACATTAAAAATGGTTTTGACAGTAGTGAACATTTGAATTGCTGTCAGATCAATGTAGTTTATTTTTTATGTATTAGTTTCAAACTCTAGCAAAAAAGAAGAAAACAAAAATATCCTAAATATATTTGTGTACTTTATTCTAATTCATGTACTTATTTGTGAATTCATTGAATAAGATAAAATCACTTAGTATTCCATTTATGATAGACTAATTAGTTGCAGATGAATATTAATTAATTAAGTAAATGCTTTATTTAAAT